CTAGAAAAACATAGTCTGAAACACCAAGGTTCCAGCTAAAATTTTGGGTTCTATTACTGATGAATATGGGAAGCCTAATACTGGAGGATAACATTTGCCTATGATATAGGACAGAGGGTGAGTGTGGGCTCTAGAGTCAGATGGCTTCTCTTTGCTTCTTGGCTCCACTGCTTGTTAGGTTGTAACTTTGATCAAGAGTCTAAAACTTCCCATGTCTTTATTTCCTCAGATGTAATGTGAGAGTAGGAGAGTTTTCATGAGCACGAAATGTGAAGACATTTTGAGTGGTGTCTGGCCATGTGCTATGGTTATTACCATTATCCTCATGGTTTACTCTAACTCACTAAGCTATAGTCAGTATAGCCTCTGGAGTTCACTACTGTAGCTCCAGAACTTAGTAGAATGCCTGGCACATCATAGACATGGATGGATGAATGAATGATCCAGACTGCATGAGTTTTGAATTGTGAAATTTCTACTTTTTCAGTGGTTTACATGGGCATTACTTAATCCCTTTCAACCTTAGTTTTCCCTTAAGATGAAGATAAACTATTCCAAGTGTTCTTCCTTTCTCCCTCCAGATTCATTCTCTACCCTTCTAACCCTGCTCTGTGCCAAGGAGGCTGACCTTTATGGATTGTGTCAATGAGCTCCCTTGCCCTCTGGCTTCCTGTTGGGATTCACCTGTAGAAGGCACTGACAGGTGTTCAGAGGTGGGAGGAGAGTTAGTTTGCTCATTTATTCCTATGGCTTCCTCCCTGCAGAGCCATGGTTTGTCGGTGGCTGTGTGCTATAGACAGAATGTTTGGGTCCCCCAAAAGTAAATGTTGAAACCCTAGCCCCAGTGTGATGGTATTAGGAGGTGGGTCATTGTGAGCCCTCATAAATGGGATTGGTGCCATGTGAGGACATGGTGAAAAGATGGCCTTCACTGGACACTGGATCTGTCAGTGCCTTGATCTTGGACTTCAAAGCTTCCATAACTGTGAGAAATAAATTTCTGTTGTTTATAAGCCATCCAATCTATGGTATTTATAACAGCAGCCTAAGGTGGACTAAGATACTATGTGTCTGTTCTGAAAGCCACAACTATCAAGTGGCCCTTTCTTTACAACTAGGTCTTTCTGGGTTCCAGTGATTGCCCCTACCCTACGGCTCCCCACTATTGTGTCCTCATGGCACTTCAACGTTGTTTGGGGGTTTTCTGAATGCTGGTCACACTTTTAAAAATACTTCTTTTATTAAACCCTCCTCAGTTCCCCATTTTATTCTACTTTTTGTTCATTTTGTTCTGTGACCATGATTGATACACGATATTAGTAGGGTGGCTTTGAGCATTTAATGAAATAATAATGCGTACAAAGTGCTTAATGTGGTGTCTGACACAGAATAAGCACTCAATAAACTTAAGCTCCACTAATGTGACTATCTTCTGCTTTCTTTTACTTATCATTATTTCAATATATTTGTTTCATAAAATTTTCAAAGATGTTGATTGCTTTGTTGACGTGATCATTGCCAAGAATGATCAGAGCGTAACTAAGGCAAATTTTTGGGTCAAATTTAAACCTTACAACAAAATGATGGCTAGTCATCCTCCCCTGCCGCCAAAGATATGTCTTCTTTTTTGTTAAAGCATAAACTATAAAGCATAAACTATACTGTGTCCTATACCATTGACTTGTTAACTTGGGGATCTAAGAAAAGGAGTAGTTGAGCTGAGGGTATAGGAATGAGAACTTGGAAATTGGGCTAGGAGGCTGTGGTCTTAGAGAACAGGGTGAGAGGAGCTAAGGATCTGTAGAGCCATGGAATAGACTAGGGAAGTAGGACCAGAGACTGTAGTTAAAATTGCTTTGAGTTGTGGTGATTCCTAGTTGTTGCAAAGCCTTATTATATTAACCCACGGTGGACCAAAGGCATATGACTATAGCTATGATAGCAGTTGAAGTCTTCAAATTTCTAATCAGTGGTTTCTCTTTTTTTATAAACAAAATCTAATGGGATTAATGTGATCTGGGGCTTCATTGAATGTGTTGGGGAACCTAGTTTTTAGGATCAGGAACAATAATGGGTTCTGGTGGTGGTGGTGAGTTCTGGTTCTCTGCTGTGAACTTCTACATTTGTGATATTCTAGAGTTTTGTATGAAACTATTCAATCCTCACTGTCTGTTTTTGTTCCCAAGATCCCCTAGATGTTATCCATCTTGCATCTGCAATTGGTTTGTGTACATCTTACAGTCTGCAGATTTTTCTCATAGTAATAATTGCTTTCTAATTCATTGAATTATCATCTGTGATAGAAAATGGATGATGATGATGATGATGGTGGTGGTGGCAATGATGATGGTGATGATGAGGATTATATCTGAAGTCCTATTCAATTTATAAAGTGATTGCTATGAATAATTCCTTCTTAGGGAAATAAAATATATTAAACTTGAGAAGGAAATGGAAAGCAAATATAATTAATATTTCATTGAATGCAGAACTTTTCATTTCATAGAAAAAACTAATTTGATTTTTATTTTCCAATGATGTAAAGTAAGAAATTGCCATTTTTAAATGTTTATGATGAAATAGCTGCTATGAGATATCACTTATTTTTTAATGTCAACTGAGTCAACAATTAAAATCAGAGTCTACTTCAACAAAAATATATTTTGGTAACTGATTATTTTTCTTCTTTTTTTTTCTTATTTTTTTTTCAGTTTTTTAAAAAAATTAAATCTTTATTGTTCAGATTATTACAGTTGTTCCTCTTTTTCCCCCTATAGCTCCCCTCCACTCGGTTCCCACCCCCACCCCCCCACCGCTGTCCTCATCCATAGGTGTACAATTTTTGTTCAGTCTCTTTCCGCATCCCCCACACCCCTATCCCCCAACCCCCAGAGTAGTCAGTTCACTCCCTTTCTATGCCCCTGATTCTATTATATTCACCCGTTTATTCTGTTCATCAGATTATTTATTCACTTGATTTTTAGATTCACTTGTTGGTAGATGTGTATTTGTTGTTCATAATTTGTATCTTTACCTTTGTCTTCTTCTTCCTCCTCTCAAAGTATACCTTTCAGCATTTCATATAATACTGGTTTAGTGGTGATGAACTCCTTTAGCTTTTTCTTATCTGTGAAGCTCTTTATTTGACCTTCAATTCTGAATGATATTTTTGCTGGATAAAGTAATCTTGGTTGTAGGTTCTTGGCATTCATCACTTTGAATATTTCTTGCCACTCCCTTCTGGCCTGCAAAGTTTCTGTTGAGAAATCAGCTGATAGTTGTATGGGTAGTCCCTTGTAGGTAACTGACTGTCTTTCTCTTGTTGCTTTTAAGATTCTCTCTTTGTCTTTTGCTCTTGGCATTTTAATTATGATGTGTCTTGGTGTGGTCCTCTTTGGATTCCTCTTGTTTGGGGTTCTCTGCACTTTCTTTCACCAGGTTGGGGAAGTTTTCTGTCATTATTTCTTCATATAGGTTTTCAATATCTTGGTCTCTCTCATCTTCTGGCACCCCTATAATTCGGATGTTGGTACGCTTGAAGCTGTCCCAGAGGCTCTTGACACTGTCTTCATATTTTTGGATTCTTTTTTCATTTTGCTTTTCTGGTTGGGTGTTTTTTGCTTCTTCGTATTTCAAATCTTTGACTTGATTCTTGCGACCCTCTAGTCTGCTGTTGGGAGTCTGTATAATATTCTTTATTTCAGTTAGTGTATGCTTAATTTCTTGTTGGTCCTTTATCACAACCTCGAGGGTCACACTAGATTTCTTCAGGGTCTCATTAAGATTATCGGTGGTTTCTAGAAAATTCTTGAAAAACCTTAAAAGTGTGGATTTGAACTCTATATCCAGTAGTTTGCTTTCCTCTATTTCTGTCATTTGTGTCCTGTTTCTTCGTCTCCACATTTTTTATGCTCCTCTGTGTCAGTAGAGTGGCTTTCTGTGTTAGGTGTCCTGTAGGGCCTAGTGGCTCAGCCTCCCCAGTTACCTGAGGTGGACACTCTTGGTGCACCCCCTGTGGGCTTTGTGCACAGTCTTGTTGTAGTTAAGCTTTGATTGCCATAGGTAACACTGGGAGGGATTGACCTCCAGGCCAATTAGCTGTGAGAATAAGCTGTGTCTGCAGTTGGAGAACTTCTGTGCTGGAGACACCCCTCTGGGACAAGACTTGCTTCAATGGGGCTTTGGTGTTCACTGAGTCTGCCCGCTGAGTGTGTCCTTTATGGGTCTGAGGAGCTGCAATCTAGATGGTCCCACTCTGACCACCGGGCACACTGGTTCGATCTCAAAGGAGGTGCTAATCTGTTCTTTGCCTGAGGCTATCCAGCAGGAGCCAGCTGTGATGCAAAGCTAGTTGCCCTGGGGCCTTGGGCCAGCTGCAGTTTGTTAGGTAATTATTAGATTGCAAAGGGCCAGGCCTTTCATATGCAAAAGCCTCCCTGCATGGCTTGGGTGTGGCGGGGTCCCAGAGGATCAACAGGGTGGAGCGAGCAGTTATGGCTGCTCTCAGTCCTGCCCTCAGAGGCCCTGCTTCTCAGTGTCCCGGCAATCGCCACAAGCACCCCCGAGAGAAAACTGCCCTCGAGTTCCGACTGATGCCAGACAGTCTAGTTTCTCCCATATGAGTCTGGGTCCCTAGAGACTCGCCCAGAACTGGAGTTCAGAGTTTGAGACTCCCTCCCAATTGAAAAAGACAACCGTGTCCTCAGCCGCCAGCCCTTTCCGCATGCGCCTCTGTACCTCTGTATTTTACTTCCACACCGCACCTCCTCTGAGTCTCGGTATGCTTTTCTCTTTCCTTCTAGTTGTAGAATTTCCACTCAGCCAGCCTTCCTGTGGTTCTGGATGATGTACGTTCCATCTTTTAGTTGTATTTTTGAAGTGGTTGTGCAAGGCAGCAATCTCCGGTGTTTACCTATGCTGCCATCTTGGTTTCTCCTCGTAACTGATTATTTTTACAATTAATTCATTTTTCTTACATTTGGCTTCTATTTTTTTTCCAGATTTGGATCTCAGAAACACATGAACAAACGGCACGAGTTTTTTTAAACACAGAATTGGCTCAAATAAAAAGCTGTGCTTTATTGAACGAGGAAACATGGTGCTCTGGGATTGTTGAAAGGTATTCTTACTATTTTTCTTTGCTTACGGAATAGGGAATGCAGGAAAGGAGCTATGTAAGTACCGAAGAGGTCTAGTGGCACTGGCTGCACACTACAGGAACACCTGAAGCACAGGCGCACATCTCATGCCTCCATGCTGTCTGCCTGTGCCATTCCTTCTGTTTGGAATTCCCTTTCCTCAGTTTGCCAGTCAGCACTACTCATTCTGGGTCCAGCTAAAATGTAATTTTTACATGTTTTTTATCTGGTCAAGGATCTGAGTAGGTTTGAACCCCAGCTCCACAATTTACTTGTGAAAGTTATGTGGTGTCTGTAACCCTCAGTTTGTTCACTCTAAAATGGGAATCATAAAAGTATCTACTTCATAGAGTTTTTCTGAAGTTTAGATGAAGTAAAGTATGAAATGTGCATAGAAATATTGCCTGAGTTGCATTAAGAATTAGCTAAACTGTTATTAAGCAGAATTAATTCCTTTTATCTCCTTGCCCTTTGAGCATTTTGTTCGTGTTTTGTAAACCAGTTGGACTTACATTCTAATTATTTAGATGAAGGTATGTGTCCCTGAGATAGACAGTCTTTGAGGGTAGGAACTGTCTTTTAGTCATATCTGTAGTCCTGCAACCTGGCACAGTATCTTTCCATGGAAATGTGTGATATAGACTTTCTCTTATATTGTAATTATTGGACAATGCAGTCGAAGTAATGACGGAATACTGACATTTTCATTTACACATTGGGACATTTTATTTTGCAAAGTGCATAAAGTTATAAACATGAGTATCCTTTAAAAATAATTATCATAAAAATTTAGCCCCAAGTTAGTTTTCTATGGCTTTGATAGTTCATAAATACCAGTCTGACATGCTTCTAAAATTGTTATCTTGTTTCCAGGGACACTGGATTGCCTGTGACAGGCTTCGGAGCTCTCTTTACTAGACACCCACCAGATCAGCGCAAGATGTAAGTAGTCCTTAAACTGCTGCAGATTGCACAAAATGTTTCTTAGTGATTCAGGAGGTTTGTTTGCAGGGGTGAAGGTGTGAGGGGCGAACCAAAGTCAACAAAAGGCCCTTTATGTGGCAGCTTTCAGACTTCTTTCCTTTAACAAAAGGTTATTTTTCATCAATGTGCATAATGTTAATAAGTAATAGTCAACCCATCTTATTTATGGTTTCCATATTTGCAAATTCTCTTACCAAAAAACTATTTATAACCCCCAAATCAATAATTTGGGTGTTGTTGCAGTCATTCATGAACATACAGAGTGTGGTGAAAATTTTGAGCCACCTTATGCATACATTCCCAGTTTAAGTTGAGCAAGGTGAGGCTCTGCCTCTTGTTTCAGCTCTAGTACTGTATGCAAGTGTCCTTTTCAAGGTCTACTTAGTGAGTGAGTGTGTGTGTGTTTTTAATCAATGAATTTGCTGTTTGAAATGGCTCCCAAGTACTGTATGGTGCTAAAGTGCTATCTGATATATCTAAGCACAAGAGGCTGTGATGTGTAAAGAATAAGTGTGCTAAATTAAGCTTCCTTCAGGCATGAGTTATAATGCTGTTGCCTGTGAGTCCAATGTTAATGAATCAACAATATATATTAAATAAGGTATCTTTAAACAGAAACACACATAAAACCAGTTATATATTGGTTAGTTGATGAAAATATTATAACCAGAGACTCCTAAGACTCTAACTCCATATTTCTCCAAGGAGCAATGGTTCAGCATTTGCTAATACAGTGTTTGTAGTGACTTTATAGAACATTACTGTGAATAATGAGAATTTACTATAGAGCAAGAGACTAGCAACTTTGCCAATAAAATAAATAAAATTTGTCTTGGGGGTGGCATGACTTGTTACTACAGAAAAGAGATTCCTTTCCACTCATCTGTTTAAAGAATACAAACTTTTATAATTTCTGTAATGATATAGAAATAAATGATGTGGAAATACAGATACTTCCAAGCATGACAAAATTCTAAGTATTGAATTGTGTATTATGAAGATATGAGTGTGTGTCATCGTCACCAGCAATTTAAATGTGCTTGCTTCCTTTGAAAACTGTCTGGTATTAGAACTAAGCTAATTTACTGAGTCTGCCTGAGGTGGGGAGAGTTGGGGAGTCTCACCTCATTTCACAGTCACCTATAGAAATTCTGGGCAGGTATTCTAACGCTCTGGGCTCTAACTCCGATTGCTCTGGCACAGCTAGCCTGGCCTGCATCCCTCACAGCCTGTAGCACCTCTACGTGGGCTGGAAGGTCCACAAGGAGTATCTACAGTTTGATCCATGTGGAGAATGGGCTTTGGGCTTCCATCAAGGCAATGGGCTAAAAGCATCCTGCTGGCTCCCTTCTCTTCATTGAAGTCTGGAATTTCCAGCAAAGACATGGGAAGGTATAATGAATCCAGAGGCAGACTTTGACAACTGGATCAAAACTCTGAGAAACTCACAAGAAAATAAAGGGCTAGAGCAGGAGAAGGCTAGGGGATGGGAGGAGCAGAGAAGGGAGAAGGCAAAAGATGAAGTCTCTAACTGGAGTCTTGGTCCAGTACAGGGTGGGAGCTGTGATCTCATTGGGCCAGGCTTAGACAGGATCTGAAAGAGTCTTATCTGTTGTGTTTGCAAACTTGGGTAATATGCTCAAAGTTGTTTTTTGCATGGACTTTGCTGTTTTTAGTCCACGGCAGAAAATGAGACAGCCAAGGTTCTACATAATAAAGAATTTGATGTCAACAACCTCCCTCCCTAAAGCTCTGATATCAGCATTGAGATCTATATTGCCAGCCACAGATAGCCAGTGGGACCCTGGGTTGTCTTCCCCAACTCAAGTTAGAGAAAGCAGTCTCAGATACAGAAGAAGAACTGGGATGTGCATCTTAAGGAGAAAGAAATGGCAGGGAAAATAAGTGTAGTTAAGCCAGCAAACTGCAGTAGAGGCACTCAACCCATATTTCCGCAACTCACAGTGAAGACACCAATTTAGCCTCTCTTTTCTTGTTTTAAAATATATTATTATTGATTTCAGAGAGGAAGGGAAAGGGAGAGAGAGAGAGAAATATCAATGATGAGAGAGAATCATTGAATGGCTGCCTCTTGCATGCCCTACATCAGAGATCAAGCCCGCAACCCAGACATGTACCCCGACCGGTAATTGAACCATGACCTCCTGGTTCATAGGTCAATGTTCAAACACTGAGCAACACCGGCTGGGCTAGCCTCCGTTTTCAATGGACTACTTATGTAGGCATCAAAAGCGGAGGCAACTGATAGTTTTAGGAGTAACACAGATGAAGTCTCAATTGAAAAGCTCATAACACACCTAAAGAACAAAATCATCATGAAGAATGAGCTACAGGCAACCAACATGAGAGGAAACAGACCTGATGGAGCAAATGAAACAGGAATTTAAAACCAATGGAACAAAAAGCTAAAGCTTTATTATTTAGGGAAATGAAACAGCAGGAAATGTAGACAAAATAATAAAAATCAAGTTGACATTAATATCCCAACAGCAATGCTGGATATAAGAGCGTAACATTAAAGTATTGAAGGAAAAGAATTTTGATCCCACAATTATTTCAGTGTGAGGGTCAAATAAAAATGCGGGTATAAAAGGGCTGGTTTCAGACTTGCTATCCTGCCATGAACCACTGCAGAACTGGACAAATACATCAAGTGTTGGGCAGCAACCTGTGAGGCTCTGTGCTCCTTGAGATGGGAGGTGAGCATCACATTCTCCTCTGACTCACTGAGAAAAGCTTTTCTGGCTGTGGTATAGGCAGGTGAACCCAAGTGTAGAGCAGTGTTCTTGTTGAGCCTGGAGATGGGAATAGGAATTTAGAGCTTCTGATAGGACTGGAATTTGTAGGACAGGATATTGGAGAGAAGGAAACCTGCATGGGGTTCACCTCAGATGATTGGTCAGAGCCTGGACTCTGGGTGCACTATCAAATCAGTAGCCCTAGCATTAAAAAATCAGCTAGAGCTGTCTTTGGTATACTCTGAAATTTCACAATGATGCTGTCTCCTGTGTATTGTGTAGTAGGCTCTGGGCATACATTACCTGCCTTCAAATCCTGGGCCTTCCACTTAAAGATCTTGGGCACATTTTGTACATCAGTTTCTTTATCTGTAAAATGCAAGTAATAATTATAAAGGCACCCATTTTATAGGGTTATTGTGATGATTAAATAAGTTAATGTATGTAAAACAATTAGAAGGGTAACTGATGCATGTATGGTAAGTGCTGTGCAAGTCAGCTGGGCCAGATACTTGATGAACACTTTCAGTCTAGAAACTCCTACCTATCAATTCAGGGCAATGTCCTTGATTTATTTCATTGATGATTTATACCTTCCATTTTCTCTGTTCTCTCTTTTTGGAAAGTCTTTATTTAGATATTGGATTGCTTGCCCTGTTCCTTTAATTGTCTTATCTTTTCTATTTTATTTTTGTCTTTACTATCTACTTTGTTCTCTGTTTCTTCAACCCTACTATTGAGTTCAATTTTTGTTTTCTGAATCCTTCTGTTTTTATAGGATCCACTATTTGATTTTATGACCACAATATCTTCTTTTACCTACCTGGAGGTGTTATACTGATAGTTTATTTTTCTTTATTTTTTCCTCCATGCATATAGTCTCTTATTTTGTCCAAGAATGCTCTCTTGTTTCTGTTTGTAGTATTTGTTTGTAGTTATATATCTTCCATGCTAGGGGTTTCCATAAAGTGTTCAGAAATTAATCCTTAGTTTTCTCTTCATGAGATGAGGCTTTTTGGGCCTGTGAGTAAGGCTTATTGACTTGGAATTTCACTGGAGGGATCTAGGTGGGTCTTTTTCTTCTTCTTCTTCTTCTTTTTTTTTTTATAGAAGCCCTTGTGTCAGTATTTTAGTCTTTCTGTGGGCACTGGTCAGATTCCCCAGAGGAAGCTCTCACCCATCTGAAAGGTGAAAGGCTGGGGCCTGTGTTCCTGCAGTCAGTAGGGCAATTGGCTGGGACATCAATATTCATACTTCATTGTGTATGGTCACTGAACCATGTTGTTGATCAAGGACTTTCTCTTTTATTCTTTCCAGTGAATAAATTTCTAGCTTTCTGCTGGCAATAACCCAGCAGTGTGGAGTGCAGTTGGGGCCTGGAGTTCTAACTGCTTCTCAGACAGCTCTTCCCCAGGCCTCCCTTGCTGCTTCAGGACTCAGCTTTCTGCTAAGTCAGAACCACTTGTCCATTTTCTCTTGAGCTTCCAAAATTTGTTACTTTTTTTAAAAAATTAAATCTTTATTGTTCAGTTTATTACATTTGTTCCTCTTCCCCCCCCCCCCATAACTCCCCTCCTCCCAGTTCCCACACCACCCTCCGCCCTCACTCCCCACCCACTGTCCTCATCCATAGGTGCACGATTTTTGTCCAGTCTCTTCCCGCATCCCCCACACCCCTTTCCTCCCCAAGAATAGTCAGTCCATTCCCTTTCTATGTCCCTGATTCTATTATAATCACCAGTTCATTCTGTTCATCAGATTATTTATTCACTTGATTCTTAGATTCACTTGTTGATAGATGTGTATTTGTTGTTCATAATTTGTATCTTTACCTTTTTCTTCTTCTTCCTCTTCTTAAAGGATACCTTTCAGCATTTCATATAATACTGGTTTGGTGGTGATGAACTCCTTTAGCTTTTCCTTATCTGTGAAGCTCTTTATCTGACCTTCAATTCTGAATGATAGCTTTGCTGGATAAAGTAATCTTGGTTGTAGGTTCTTGGTATTCATCACTTTGAATATTTCTTGCCACTCCCTTCTGGCCTGCAAAGTTTCTGTTGAGAAATCAGCTGACAGTCGTATGGGTATTCCCTTGTAGGTAACTGAGTTTCTTTCTCTTGCTGCTTTTAAGATTCTCTCTTTGTCTTTTAATTATGATGTGTCTTGGTGTGGTACTCTTTGGATTCCTTTTGTTTGGGG